GTTCAGATAAGGCCTAGAAAGGCCTGGACCACGGCGGTCCAGACAGGCCAGGGGTAAAAGCCCAGGCCCACGTCCACAAGGCCGGTACCGGGCCAGCATAGGACCGACCGGCGGCGCTGCAGAGGCTGCCGCGTTTAGGCACCAAATGCCAGTTTTAAAACTGGACCGTTGATCTAGATCAACGGTCCACGCCGGTAGGTAGAAGAAGGTCGGAGGCTGGCCCAGCACTTCAAAAGGCTGGGTACCAGCCTCAGCGGTAGGTTAGTATGGACTAGAGGTTAGTCTTCAGGATTAGCGCAGCGGTTCAGCGCTAGCACAATTAGCGCAGCACTGCAGCACCAGCGAGGAGCAGCGAGGGAGCAAGAGTTCAGCGGCAAGAGGATTAACGCAGCATTGGGCGTTACCGGCCCAGCCCCCTTGCAGCGTTATAGCTACTGTGCCAGGTACCAGGGAGGAAGGCTTCGCCTTCTCTCCCTCATCTCCTCCACCGCTCTCTCTCTTCTCTCTCTGTCTCTCTCTCTCCTCCTACCTTCTCAGTCTAAGTCTACTCCTGGGTTCTTCTACCGCGCTACTATGAGTATGAAGGATGGTTACGAATTCTGATGACATTGGGAATAGCGACATTGGGACTATAGGTTGAGGACTACTTGGGGGATCTGATTTCATCTTCCTTCTGGAGATGTACTTGACATTGTGAGATCGATATCTGAGACATTGTGAGACATTGCATTCGCGACATTTCGGATCTTCGTCATCTTCCCTCTCCTCCTCCCTNGATCGATATCTGAGACATTGTGAGACATTGCATTCGCGACATTTCGGATCTTCGTCATCTTCCCTCTCCTCCTCCCTTCGTCTCTCTCCTCCCTCCATTCGTCCGTGGATGATCTCAGACCCTGGCCTTCGTCTATGTCTACGGCCAGGGCTTTCACACCCCTGATGTATGGTTGAGAGTGTTCGATTGCAGTCCGAGTCAGGTCAGGGTCAGTCCATATATCTCAAGTCTTCCGCTTGCAACTGGTATCAACTCTGTATTATCTGGTAGGTTCTGGGAATATGCGCCATACTTATGACTGTGTTTCACAAGTATGCAACAGTTTGGTATCGGAGCAGACCAGCATTGGATTACTCACCATTGATTGATTGATTGATTATCTACACCTGTACTCTGTTCTCATTAAATCGCAAGTTGCAATTTTTTTTTCTTTCTTTTCTCGTACTTACATAGTAATTAGGTCGTTTGAATCATAATTTTAGGTTTTGCGATTTTTCTTTATATCTGTGCAAATTAGGAATCGTTAATTACGATTAACCTAATTAGCGCTAATTAGGGTTAGTCCTAACCTAACCTAACGACCTATGGCCATCCCAACCAAAGAACCAAAACAGATGTTGAAATAAAACAGGATCTCCTCCTCCTGCAGGATCAAAAAAAGTGGTATTAAAATTTCTATCAGTTAATAGCATARTAATAGCACCTGCTAATACTGGAAGTGACAATAAAARCAGAAAAGCTGTAATTAGCACAGACCAAACAAATAGAGGTAATCTATGCATGGTCATTCCTGGGCCACGCATGTTAAAAATAGTCGTAATGAAATTGATAGCACCTAATATTGAGGAAACACCCGATAAATGAAGACTAAAAATAGCTAAATCCACAGCTCCTCCAGAATGACTGGTTATACCGCTTAAAGGTGGGTAGACCGTCCACCTGGTACCAGCACCTACTTCCACTAAAGCAGAACTTAGAAGAAGTAATGCAAAGTAAGTGCCAGCCAGGCACCACGCCAAGTAAGGCAGATCGGGCCTGAGCGCATCCATATTCAAACTGCAACTTCACAGAACTTTCACTTTTTGCAAACTGCATCTTTTTGCGTTTGAAAGGTTGAATCTTTCCAGCAAATTGTGTATCTTCCTATTACCATTCATCTTCTACTTACTTGGTGACCTCGTGATGATGCTAAATTCTCCCGATTAAAATTTCGTGAAATTATTATGTCTAAATGTTTAAACTTGCTTAAACTTTATTCATTTTTATTTGGGCAAATTCGAATATTCTTTAATTAGATATTTAACTTTTGCGAAATTAAGGATTGCAAATTTAAATATTCTTTAATCAAATATTTAATCTTTTGCCAAAACTAAATTGTATTAATTCATATTTTCCGATTAAATTTTTATTTAATTTCTCAAATTCGAAATTCCGTCGGGAGGGGGGGGGGGGGGGGATTTTTTTCTGTTGATTAGTGTCAGACTTCGAGGTCAGGGAAGAAAGGGACTGTCTGTGCATTGTTGCCTCCCTGCCCTTCCTCCACACCCTACCTTCTCTCTCTTCCTCTCGGTACTACGGACATCAGTCTCCGGCCACGTCAGCATTGTGCCACAGCAGCAGCAGGCCACGAACGCAGATTGCCACATCAGCCGCGTGCCACCTCAGCGTGCCACGGCAGCCGAGTGCCCAGTCAGCGGCCACCTCAGCAGTGCCACGTCAGCAGGTGCCACCTCAGCGGTGAAACGTCAGCAGCAGACAAAGACCAGAGTACTTGATGCGCCACAGCCAACGACTGGCTGAGCGAGGATCCGCAGGAGCCAAGCCTCAAAAGGGACCTAAGACCCCTCGGATTCCGCGCAGGCCATGCACGACCATGGCTGCTACCGCTGACGACAATGCACAAGCCAGCCCCAAGAGGCCGGCTACCCCTCCTATCCCAATTTAGCAGGCCGATGAACCGCTTCTAGCGTTTCTCAAACGGCTCCAGATCTATTCGGAGACCACGGCAGTTGAACTCAACAAGTGGGAAGAGGAGGAAGCCGCCCGCCAGCAGGAAATTCAACGCCAGCTGGCAGAGGCAGAGGCAGCACGGCAGCAGGCCCCAGCAGAAGCTGCAGCAGCCGCACGGTTGCAACAGCAGCAGGTCGAGGCAAGTCAACACCAAGCTCATTACTAAGCCACGATGGACCTTGCACACGACGAAGTCACGTATGGCAGGCTACTTCGACGACAGCATTTCCAAGAAATCGAAGAACGAGAAGAGCCGACCGAGGAAGAAAGTAACAAGGAAGGTATAGCAGTACTGATGGAGAATCTGTTGTACACGTGCAATTGGCAGCAACGTGAACTGCTGGCCATGCGGCAGATCTTCATCCGCCATGAAACAACATTCAAGACATTGGACAAGATGATCACTACCCTGCAGGCTGAGATCAGCACACTACACGCCGCCAACAACCAGCAGCAGACACTCAACGACCAGTTGCAGACCGATGTCAGCATAGGGTTGGCAGAACTGTCTGCAGCTGCGCCAATGGGCAGTGCAGTGGTAGACTGCAGCCCAGCTTTGGCCGCGCAGGCCAAGCAACTCGAAGAGCGGATCAACCACGTGGTCGCATCCCTCGGCGACATCAGCAAGTTCGCTGGAGCATCGACAGTCAGCAATCAGCTGCAGGCGCTCAGCGACCGCGTTGAGCAACGACCGGCCGCTGTCGCCAAGGAATGGAAGATGCCAAACTTCAAGATCGAGAAGTTTGATGACTATCACAAGACTGATCCGCTGCAATGGTGGATGGCTTCCAACGCGGAAGCGGATGTACATCACACCCCTGCACACCGGCGGCTTGACGCACTTTACCTCCAACTCATCGGAGGGGCGCAGGCTTTCATGACACACATGGCCGTCACGTTGGAATGCACCATCGCCGACCTCCACACTAAGATCACGTGGGAGGAATTCGAGAAGAAATGGAAGACCCGGTTCATGGTCAACAATGACAAACGGCACGCCATGAACAAGATCTTCCGAATATACCAAGGCCAGCAAACATCGCGGGAATGGCTGACGGAGTGGCAAAGACTCATCGCCAACCCAGAGTTGAACCTACCGTTCGACTCAATCCGGGCCGAGTTCTTCGCCCGGTCATGCGACGCCTTGACAACTGCTTTGGGCAGCGAATTCCAGTATGAGACCTTTGATGACAAGATATCAAAGGCAAGGGAGCTCATACAGCGTAACCGGCGTGCGACCAATGAGACCCGCCAACAGCCCGGTTACGTGGAGAAAGGAAAAGGTCAACGGACGCCGCAAGTAGCAGCGGTCCAGCAAGGACCAAGTGAGGACCCCGCAGCCGCGTCTACATCAAGTGATGGAGATGTGGCGGCAGCGATACCACCGCAACGCTCAAGACCCCGAGGGGGAAAACAAAAGGCGAAACCAGTGTCGGCACATGGAGCACGACAGGCACCATGGACGAAATTCGGCATTACCGAAGACATGTTCAAGTTGCGACAGAAATGGTCATGCTGTTTGTGGTGCAACAGCACCAAACACATCACCAGCGCATGCCTCGACAAGGACAAGGAGAATGTCAAACGTCCAAGTTTGAAACTGAGCACCACGGGAAGTGCAGCGACATCACTTCCCAATCCACCGGAGTCGGCTGGCTTGCTAGCAGTCTCTCTCATATTCGAGGATGACACAGTAGTGGCAAGTTCTCGCATTGAATTTGAGAACTATGCTGCCGAGCTGGTCCCACCGTTGAACCAGCCTCTCCACGTGCAAGATTCAAGCGCATGCACGGTAGTTCCGCCGTCAGACAACGAACTGGTTGCTTCGCCAGCCCTTCTATCGGAGGATCCGTCAACTTCGGCGAGTCTTGAGGAACTCGACCCCTTGACGGTTGAGGACTTCCAATGGTTGCCTCTTTCCCTCCACCGGTTCTTTGCCAACTCTGCATTGCAATGCCCTAATCGCACATTTGCGCGAATACTTGCACGCTGCAGTACCACCTCCGTCGACGGATGGCGGAGTAGCGGTTGTTGATCTTTGTAACTATCTAGCAAAGATCGACCGCGAGTACGCAACACAGCGGTACGTTGACATCGACGCGCCGCTCCTCTACATCCACATTCAGATCGGAAAGGCGACCTGCAGTGCCTTGATCGATTGTGGAGCGACTCGCAACTACATCAGCCAAGACTCCATGGCACGCATCGGGCTTGGCCCGCGCGTTCGAAAGGAAAAGTCAGCCCACACACGTCACGTTGGCCGATGGCCACACGCAAAAGTCAATCGACCGATGCGTTGACTTGGTGCCCGTGTACTTTGCCCCACTAGCATGCGAGGCCGTGTCGTTCGACATATTGGACACCAAGTTTGATATGATCCTAGGCATGTCGTGGCTGCAAAGCGAAGACCATCCGATGAACTTCCATCAACGCACCGTTCACGTTCGTGATCGACGTGACGAACTAGTCTCGCGTACGATGCCGCTTCCTCATCCTTCGATTGGTTGTCACGTGGTATCCGCGGCGAGCATTCGCCAATCCATCCGGCGGAACGACATCGAGGAGATGGGCATATGTTTTCTTCACGCCCTCCCACCTGGTGATCAGCCCAAGATGGATACGTCGGACCCACGCATCATTGAGCTGTTGGACAGCTATGAGGATGTCTTCCAAGCTCCCGCCGGAGTCATACCGGATCGGCCCATACGCCACGGGATCACTCTCGAGGACGGCGCCGTACCTCCGCGCGGATGTATCTACCGCATGAGCGAAGAGGAACTTCAAGTGCTTCGGGCACAAATAAACGACCTCTTGGCCAAGGGCTGGATTCGCCCTAGCTGTTCGCTATACGGTGCTCCCGTTCTCTTCGTCCGGAAGAAGAACAAGGACCTTCGTTTGTGCATCGATTATAAGAAACTTAACGTGCAAACGATCAAGAATGCTGGCCCTCTCCCTCGGATCGATGATCTTCTCGAGCGACTAGGCGACGCCAAGTACTTCTCAAAGCTTGACCTCAAGTCCGGATACCACCAGATCGAGATCCAGCCAAGAGATCGGTACAAAACCGCATTCAAGACGCGGTATGGGCACTTTGAGTGGATCGTCATGCCTTTCGGTCTCACCAATGCCCCGGCTACTTTCCAAGCGGCTATGACTACGGAATTCCACGACTTGCTCGACCGCACCGTACTCATTTACCTTCATGATATCTTGGTCTATAGCCGGACGCTGGACGAGCACCTCGAGCACCTTCGCGCCGTATTGGAGCGGCTCCGTATCGCCAAGTACAAGGGAACCACGACAAGTGCGAGTTTGCCCAGCAAGAGCTAGAGTACTTAGGCCATTACGTTACGCTACAAGGCATTTATCCGCTCGCGGACAAGGTATAAGCCATTCAAGATTGCCCGGACCTCAAGTGTACTACTGACGTTCGCTCCTTTCTCGGCTTGGCATCATACTACATGCGCTTCGTCAAAGGATTTCAATGCATCGCTGCACCATTGTCGCGACTTCAGTCCCCCTTGGTGCCCTTCGAGTTCAGCGACGAAGCCCGGCATGCGTTTCACACGTTGAAGACGGCTTTGCTTCAAGCTCCCATCTTAAGCATCTATGACCCGACCTTGCCCACCAGAGTGACTACGGACGCTTCCCGCTACGACATTGGCGTGGTTTTGGAACAACATGACGACACTGACTGGCATCCGGTTGAGTACTTCAGCCAAAAGGTGCCACCCATCAACACTCGTGATGATGCGAGGAAGGAGCTGCTAGCTTTTGTCACCGTACTTAAGCATTGGCGTCACTTTCTCCTCGGGCGTCAGCAATTCACGTGGGCAACGGACAACAATCCGTTGACGTATTACAAGACGCAAGATACGGTGAGCAACACGATTGGTCGATGGATGTACTTCATTGACCAGTTCCACTTCACCTCCAAACACATTCCCAGCTCCTCGAACAAGGCAGCGGATGCTCTCTCGCGAAGACCTGATCTTTGCGCCTTGGTGCACTCCACATCCGGCCTCGACGAGAACCTGCAACAACATTTTGTAGACGGATACAAGTCAACTCCGGGATTCTCCACACTCTATGCGGACTTATCATCGGATCACCCGCCGGCAAGCAACTACCGCATTGTCAACAGCTACTTGCTCCTCCATACACGAGGCAAGGACTTGTTGTGTGTTCCCCAAGACCGCATCTTGCGCACTCGCCTCCTTGGCGAATACCACGATTCGCGGCTGGCGTCACCTTCTCGTCGCTCTCACACTTGCACGACTCCGCCAACGATTTCACTGGTCGGACATCATCAGCGACGTCAACAGGTATATTCAGTCATGTGCAGTTTGCCACCGGAACAAAGGGCGCCATCAGCTCCCGTACGGCGAACTGAAACCATTGCTGATTCCTCGAGAACCGGGTCTCTCCATTGCTATGGATGTGACCGGTCCTTTCCCTCGCGATCGCCTTGGCCATGATGGTATTCTCACGGTCGTTGACCGTTTGAGCAAGTACGCTCGATTTCTTCCATGCAAGTATCATGCGACGGCTCCCGAGCTCGCACAACTCTTGCATACCAGCTGGTTTTGCAGCCACGTCGTTCCTGAAGACATCGTCAGCGACCGTTCATGTCGGCCTTTTGGACGACACTCATGGCGGAATCCGGCACCAGCATGAAGCCGAGTTCCGCACGGCATCCTCAAACGGATGGGCAAACGGAACGTGAGCACCAGACTGCGCAGATGATGCTCCGCACACTCATCCGCCCGGATCAGAAGGACTGGGTTGACCGCCTTCCAAACATCCAGTTCGCCTACAACACTTCGGAGCACCCGGCGATTGGCGTGACTCCATTCGAGTTGCATCACGGTGGACGAAAAGGACGTATCTTCGCAGGCATTTTGCTTCCACGGGCAGCCAATATCAACGCCGCTTGCTCCGCCGCTTCTACACGGAAGTTCAAGGAACTGTTGGCCAAAGCCCGCGCAAACATGCAAAGGGCCCAGGTCTATATGCAGCAGCAAGCGAACCGGCGTCGCATCCCATGTCCAATCCGCGTTGGCGACCTAGTTTGGGTCACCTCCGAGGAATTCGCGGTCGAGCAGCACGTCTCGCGCAAGTTCCTCCCTAAGTGGTTTGGACCATGGAAGGTCACTTCAGCAGTTGGCGACGACCCCGCGGGTCCATCTTTCATCATTGAGATTCCCCTGCATTTGACAGTCCATCCGATATTTCACGCTTCAAAGCTGGCTGTCTACACGCCAGCCTCCGAAGCGGACTTCCCAAGCATCACAGGACCCTCCTTCAATGGATGATCATCAGGAGGTCGACCCCGTTCTCACGCATCGCAAGCATGGCAACAAGCCTATGCAGTACAAAGTCACATTTAAGCAATGCGATCCGGACGACACACACTGGATTTCAAGAGCTGAACTGAAGGCGACAGCACCCCTCATCTTCGCGCATTACGACAAACAACGACTTGCTAAGGAAGCTGCCCAACCTGCCCGCCCTGTACGGAAATCGGACAGACAGCTTCCCCCTCGCAGTTAGCTCGGTCTTCAAGGGGGGGAGTGTGTGGCATTATGAGCCACACGGGCCCGAGTTAGGGCTCGGTTCCAGATAGGCAGGGTAGGCCTAAGGGATGACGGTTTAGATGAGGCCTAGAAAGGCCTGGACCACGGCGGTCCGGACAGGCCAGGGGTGAAAGCTCAGGCCCACGGCCACAAGGCCGGTACCAGTCCAGCATAGGACCTACCGGCGGCGCTGCAGAGGCTGCCGCGTTTAGGCGCCAAATGCTAGTTTTAAAACTGGACCGTTGATCTAGATCAACGGTCCAGGCCAGTAGGTACCGGCAGGTAGGAGGCCGGCCCAACACTACAAAAGGCTGGGTACCAGCCTCAGCAGTAGGTTAGTTTGGACTATAGGTTAGTCTTCAGGAGTAGCGCAGCGGTTCAGCGCTAGCACAATTAGCGCAGCGCTGCAGCACCAGCGAGGAGCAGCAAGGGAGCAAGAGTTCAGCGGCGAGAGGATTAGCGCAGCATTGGGCACAGCGCCAGTTACCAGCCCAGCCCCCTTGCAGCGCCATAGCTATTGTGCTAGGTACCAGGGAGGAAGGCTTCTCCTTCTCTCCCTCGTCTCCTCCACCACTCTCTCTCTTCTCTCTCTCTTCTCTCTCTCTCTCTCTCCTCCTACCTTCTCAGTCTAAGTCTACTCCTGGGTTCTCCTACCGGGCTACTATGAGTATGAAGGATGGTTACGAATTCTGATGACATTGGGAATAGCGACATTGGGACTGTAGGTTGAGGACTACCTGGGGGATCTGATTTCATCTTCCTTCTGGATATGTACTTGACATTGTGAGATCGATATCTGAGACATTGTGAGACATTGCATTCGCGACATTTCGGATCTTCGTCATCTTCCCTCTCCTCCTCCCT